AACTTGATTTTTCTCCCTTCTGCAGATCCACCATCACCACCATCACCTCCGTTCTTTCATCTCGAATCTTCACCATCCCCTTGCTGAGCATCTCATCATCATCACAGCCTCCACCTTCATCACCGGTAATCACCAAAGCAGAAGGATTCGGCAGCTACCAGAAATGGGGAGAAGATGAAGCAGATTTAACCGGTAATCACGGAAGCGAAGCATTCACTAAATCTCCAACCCACAAGCGACAGGTTGAGGAAGACGTTCGCGGCGTGCGGCGTGTGGCGTTCATCATTCGTGATGAAGAAGGAGAACATAAATAGATCTGCAATCTGAAATCTATTGTTTTTTTTCTTTTTAGTTTGAACCTAGGTGTACCGGTGATATTTCGGTGTGTCGGTCGGTACATCGAATTTTGACCGAAACGGTCGAATTTTGACCGAAATAAAATTTGATATTGTACCGTTTCAGTCAAGTGTCAAAACCGGTACGTACCGGCCATACCGGCCGATACGGTACGAGATTGACTTTTTTGGTTCAAATTGAATCGCTTTATGAATTTTGTTTTTTTTTTTTTTTAACAGTATAAAAGTTATAAAGACAGAACAAAGGATGATGATGTTGTTACACTTTTCATTATTAATGTTATATTTTTAATTTATTAAAATACAAAAATATAAATTTTTTTAAAAAAATATAATATATAATTATATTAAAAAAATATTATATTAATTATTTAGATGCGATAATAACCTTATTCCAAAACAAATCACAATTTTAAAATTTGTTAGTTTAAAATTAAATAAACAAAACACATTATAATTGTAGTTAAAGAGAGATTAATAAATAAATTAAATTATTAAATACTATTATTTTGATATAAAAGGAATTTCTTAAAGGGAGTGCATTTTTTGTCATCTATACTTATTACCCTATTTTAAAATTTAAAATTTAAACTATTATTTTATATGTAAAAAAAGTAAGATTTGAATTTTAAACTATTTTTTTTTATTGAGTAGTGCTAAGGGCAGTCGCCACTTGCACTCTGCAAAAAACCACTTGCCCATTCATTTGGCCACGTCGCCTTACTTTTAATGGGATAGAGGAGGTGCAACCGGAAAAACCGTTCTTAACCCTTCAAACTTACCCTAAAATAGGGTTTAAGTCTCTAAACTAAATATGACACAGATAAGTCCTTTAATTTTATTAATGATGCAAATAAATTTTTTTCATTCATCGTATTCATGCTTTCAAATAAACTTGTGTATCAAGTTTTTTTTTTTTATTATTAAGAAGATAATTTGAAGAATGGTTTTCCTATTTTATACTTTGAAGAAATGGTATATTTATTTATTTTTATTATAAATATATATAAAAAAATATTAAAATTGATATTAATTTCAATATCAAGTGAATTTAATTAAGTAATTAATCAATTAAAAATTAATTTTTATTTTTTAATATAAATTTATGACAAAAAATATATTCAAAAAATTTTTAATCTGCTCACTAAAAAATATAAGTTAGACAAACCTTTTGAAAAATAGGGAATAGGATTTGTGATAACTTGAAATCGGGTGATTCTCATTGAATCAAAGGTTTTGGCTACTAAACTAGGGCATGGGGATTTTTATCAATTTTCCCCTAGAAAGTTTTTTTTTTCATGAAATTTCTCATTTTTGCTTTAAAGTTTAAACTTTTTTTTTTTTAAAGGAAAGTGATAGGGTTAATCTTTTATAT